TAGGAAGAGAAGCTCTTAAAATATAAAAATTTTTCATCGAAGAATTAAGCACAAAATCAGCTAGATATATTGTAAAGAGAATTTTTTCTTAAATGAAAAATAAAAACCTAATAGTCACGATACTAATATCCACTGATTTTCTCAATACATTTACTTTCGGTTGCTCTATGTTGGTTTTCTTCCTTTTATTCTGTCAGGTATTAGCCAAGTGTGTTCTTTTATTTGTTCTTCGTGTACTTTCATTCTTTTTCTGATCTAATAACTGTTGTTCACTTTCTTTCGTTTACATTGTGATTTTTTTCTGATCTTGTCAGATGAATAAAAACTTTTTATTGAATTTGAACTAAATATTTTTTTTTTCTAGTACGCATTTTTGGTAATACGTGAGAATGTTATATATATGTGTTCTTGTTGTTCTAAAAACGAAATAAAAAAAAATAAATATCATACACACAACAACGTATATCAGCACCTAAAAGCTGAAAGAAATGGTTTTTTATTGGAAGATAAAAAGTTATCTCTAATTTGCATTGTATGTAATTTAATTTTATCACACGTTCATGAACGAAATAGTGCCAGCAGAAAGAGAGGAATGCTTAAAATTAGTTCGCATTTTTCATGCAATGCAAACTAATAGAAGAAAATATGGAGTAAACACATGTTAGTATTGTCGTTTTTTATTAGTTGATAGGACATTTTTCCTCTTTCGATCTGTAAATGAATTGAGCTTGTAATTTGTTCTTAAACAAAGTGACATGTGAAAAAAGAGAAACTCTCAGTGGAAGATTTTGCAATTTTTATATTGATTTATCTAAGAAACCTTGTCAAAGTTTCAATCGACAACCATTTTTTGATAAAAATGTGGTTTGTTCATTTTTCAAATGTCTCTTCAATATGTTGTGAGTTTTTGTTGCTGCAATGCCTTGCTTGAATTACATTTTGTTCAGAGAGTTTTTCTGTATCGTCACATACCATTTTGTTGATAAATCTAGAACAAAATCAAACTGTATACAGATCGTGAAATGAGAAAATTTCCTGTTAGATGATTAAAACTGATCATTCCGATATGTGTTTACCGAAAAAGTTATGAAAATTGATATTTTCGATCGCTATTTCGTATTACATGACAAGTGCAGCCTCGTTTTAAGGTTGTTCTCGTTGCAGTTACATCGTTGCCTTGATGAACATGCAACAAAAATACATTATGTCTGATTCGAAAGCGAAAAAAGCTTTTCAATCATTTAGAAATGAAATGACCAGTACTCAGGGCCTTGTATTTGGTAAAAATGTTCGTGCAATCGATGTTAGATATATATTTTTTCTCTAAAAAATGTTTTAATAGATATCTTTTCTTCAAGTATCGTTTTATTTAGTGAACCTATTTTATGTAAGAGATCTTTACAAATTATTATTGATCTTCTCTTAATCGATGATAATCCTAGTATTATAACAATGGATTCAAATACTAATCGTGATGGTATACCTGTCATTGCGTGTAACAGAAATCTTCTATTTAAAGCTGATATAGATTTACCACGTTTTGGTCATGGAGCTTTTCTTATATCTAGAAACACTATATAAAGTAAATAATTCATTGAAATTCGCAAAAGACAAATTCTATTGATTTGTTTTTTGCGACATTTAGAATATGAGTGGACATGATCTAAAATATACATCACTGATTGGTAAATCATTTGTAATTTCATTTTGATATGCTGAATCAATAGCTAATAAAACAGCATTAGCTAATAGTCAATCAAATATTGAATGTGTTTGTTTTATTGAAGATAATCCTAATGTTGATATTGTTCGTGCAAATATGTATAATGATTTACTAATAGAGGAAACAAATTAAAAAACAAGTGCTACTGATCATAGTTTAGTATCTGATTAAAAGTTTTAACATGCAACATCATATGATTCAATTTTAGAGTGTACAGATATTTATGATCCGAAGAAACAAAAGTTTGATGAAAAAGATCCATTGAAATTACCAACAGCAATTGCAGCGGATGTTTTTGAAGCTGTCACAGATATTCTTCTAAAAGAAGTATATTGATATTCTAAATTTTAACGTATATTGTAATATTAAAAAATATCAGTGTTTGTTTTTAATGTACATAACTTTGTGTCAGATGATATTGCTGTAGCTTAGCATGTTAAAGTTTTTTCATCTTTTCATGTAGACAAAAAGAAACAAATTGTATACATTTATACATATATAAAAAAAGATATTCTCAGGATTGTATAGTTAATAAAAAAATTCTTTGTATGAAATACAAAATTATTATTAACGAATTTCAATTATCATTTTCGCTTGGCACTAAATAAGAGAATATTTTTGTACCAAAAGCAATAGTTAATATTAAATATCAAACATATTTTTGTTCTAGTGAACTATCAATGATATGTATCTCTCATATGCTCATGAAGAACTATTTGAACAATATCGTTCAAAGCAAATACACCTTTCTTCACATAGGGAGAAACGAAACAAACAAGTTTTTATAAATAAAAATATTCAAATTATCTAATTCACATATAATTGATATTACAAAGATATTGCTCTTCGATGTACAATGGATGAAATTTTTTGAAGTGGGAATAATCATGGCATTGATATACAATGGCTTCATTCTTTCATCCTGATATCAACATGTTGTCGTCTTGCAATGAAAAAGCGATCACCATATTCATTCTAATTTGCTGAAAGCAAAGAGCATTGTTTAGCGAGCATCAATGGGAAGAATACAAGAGTTTCTCTTATTACGACTATCGAATATGAGCAAAACTCTTTTGTTCATACTAAGGAAGCGTTAGTTTTCACAAAAAATAGAAAGGTAGATTTCGCAAGCAGAAAAGACGGAAAGTGATGGTGAATGTTGTACAAGAAGAGTGGATGATTGACTTTTCACTCTCAAAAATAGGAAATGTCGCTTTCCTAGTATATATTGTCATTTGTTCAACAACAACGCAGGATATGATATGTGATGAATATCTGTTTGATATTGCTATTTTGTGTATGAGGGCAGATATTCGTCTCTTTCACACCCATTCTACCCCGCCCACATTTTCAAGGCCTAACTATTCAGACGCTATATTTCGAACAAACATCTCTTTTTCTAAAATACAAAAAAGAATACTAATCATTCGAGCTGTGAAGAAACACGCATGATATCCTCTTCAATTTGATCAAGGTCTGAATGCTGAGAACAGAATGATTGACGACGAATGGTAGCTGCTTTTTGAAAATATTCCAATGCTTCACTCAGCTCACCTTTATCTTCATATACTGAACCTATGTTTCTATAACTTTTAACAATATGTGGATGATCAGAAGGAAGTGACTTCAATCTGATTTTAAGCGATCGCTTGTAATACTTCAACGCCAGATCACACTGACCAAGACGACGATAAATGCTACCAGTGTTACTATAAGAGAGACCTATGCCAGGAAATGATTGGGAGGTAATTGCTATTCTCGAATAATCAGTACCTTCTTGTTGAAGTTCAATGCCTCCTCATATTTTTCCTGTTTTTCATAGACAACAGCAATGTTATTATAGTGGTGAGCCATTCCGAGATGATCTGTAACTTTTTCTTTCTGAAGAAGTTCAATACTCTTATAGAACCAAGAAAGTGCGATACTGTACTGATTTTTCATTTGACGAATAGTTCCGATGGCATTGTACCGCATACAGATTTTTCGATAAGCCTGTGGGGATGATTGCATTATCAACTCTAATGACTTGTGTAAGAATTCAAGGCTTGAATCTAATTTTTTTTTGTTTTGGTGCACTAAACCAAGTGAATAATATAAATTTATGAGTGAGGGATCATCGGAAGGAAGTTCGCTGAGTAATAGATGATAAAACTTCTCGGCTAAATCGAATGTATACATGCGACGTAATACTTTACCAAAGTCAATGAGTGTAGTTTCATCTTCACCACTCCCATATTGTTCTTTCATATATTCAAACAGACTTCTCAGCTCATGGTCATGATCGTCGTACAACGTCAGTCGAATTATCCATATTTTTCTTCATTGTCTTGACGAATATCTCTGAGACGAAAAATGGAACCAACCGTAAAGAGAACCTCTGATTCATGACCAAAGTCACTGGATGAACTTATGTCAGCGAACGGTCTAGTTACTCCGATACGAGGATCAGCCTCAATTTCAAATAATACTCAATGTAGATCATGTCAAATATAAGAATTCGGTAAGAATCCCATTGCTTTATGATAACTCATAGTAGTTGAGAAAAACGAATTAACAGAAATCAATTCACCGATTGATTGTTGCATAGTTTTCAATTCATCATTTGATAGAATTTGACCCCGATATACGCATATTGAAGATTGACATTGATGTCGTTCTAATTCTCGAGGGTGTGGGTGTGGGTGTACATCTTCTCTTGAAAGACATCTAAACCCACACCCACAGCCACATCCAACAACATCCACACCCACCCACACCTACAGCCACACCCACACCCAGTTGGTGACCTTCCCTCGTTAATAGATTGGATTTTCGATGATTAGTATTCCTACAGTCAGTGTAATAGTCTATTATGTGCTTGTGGGTAGTGGAAGTCGAAAGACCAACAGCAGAGACTTTGCTCATGAAGTTTTCAAGTATTTTGAAGTCAACCGAAGTCTTTGATATCGAAGTCGTTGGAACTCTTCTAAAGTCTGATTAAAATTTCAAGTCTCTTGATGCTCTTTGAAGTTCTGAAGTCGACTATTTCTCCTTTGGCGAAAGTTTAATTCAGTAAAGAGACGTTGAAATACGAATGAGACGAAGTAACAGAACCCACAATTTTGTTTCTCAGAATTGCTTTAGCCTCATGAGGCTCTCTATCATTAACTTTCCCACTTGGATCGCTGCTTATCTTTGCTCAAAATAATACCATCATGATGCTTTTGTGTTTTAACTCAGTGCCACAATTTTCCCCAAAACTACAACCATGCTATGTTGACCATCCACCGAGATAAAATCTGGCGCAATCGGAGATAAATATGATACAAAGAAGCTGATTGGTCGAAAGCCCGATATTGAAAACCTCTGGTTGGCTGAACTCTCAGCATGAAAAAATCTGATTGGACGAAAGTCTGATATGAAAAAACTGTGGTTGGCTGATTTCTCACAGTGAAAAAATTTGATTGATCGAGAGCCCAGCGTCGAAAACCTCTGATTGAAGGAATTCTAAGTCTGAGAAAATCTGATTCGACGAATGCTAGACATTGAAAACATCTGACCAGTGATTTTAGGGTGTGAGTGTAGGTGTGAGTACTCTGTTGATATTCACCCACAACGACACCCACACCCACCCACCCACACATCCACACCCACATCCATATCCACATCCATACCGACATCCACACCCACACTCAGATAAAAAAAATATTATCGTCTTCTTAGCGCAATTGTGGTGTGAATATAGAAAGCAGATGACGTTGAAGTCAAATCTGTATAGAAAATACTTGCATTTTCTGCATTGTGATTGATTAGTAATGTCACACTTTTCAGTTTTACATGTGATGCAGAGGTAACAAATAGCTTTCTACAATCGTTTCCTCCTATGATGCTGATAAATATAACTACATAATCTTTTAGTAAACTCTAGGTAGTGTTTATCAAGAGAAGAGTATTTTGAAGTTCTATGATCTATTTTGTTATCGATCGTTATTTTCTCCAAAAACAAATTTGCATTTTAAACCAATTGCAAAATTGGTAAAACCAATGGAGAGTTTTTGGCGTAATTAGAATAGTAATTGTTGTTCCATTTTTTGTTGACGCTACAGGTAAAAATTCGTAATAATTTCGACTAGTGCACGTCCATGTTAATGAATTAACTGGGGATACATTAATATCATTACCATATGGATAATTTAAATCTTCATTTATATAAATAATTGTTGGTTGATGAATATCCGTCTTAACGTTAAAAACTAACTGAAAACGAGATGTTGCTGGTTCAAACAACATATTTATCGGGTCACCTAATTGAGAAAAAATTAATATAATCAATAAATTATAATAATTAATAATACCTGCAATTGCTTGTGCATATGATCGTGAAAGGGCTCGTACTTTATTTATTTCTAATTCACCAACTTCATTATAGAAGGATTCGGTTGTTGTTGGTCTTTGTGCTGTTGTTAAATCTTGATATTGTTTAAATTGCCAATAAGACCAACCTCAATAAATAAGAAAAATGAAAAAAAAAGTTTTTTTTCGAAGGTCATCGATCTCATTCAACTCACTTTGAAGAAATGCATCTGCTAACCCTGTTATTCGACTGATTTCCTTGATACCTTCTGTGGAATTACTTACAGCACCGAATTCTGTTAACATCATCCCGCCAAATTTCTTTTTTTTGGCTTCTTCATATCGTAAACTAATAAGAAGTGCATCATCTATATCACAAACAACATCCGAGTTTTGATCACCTTGTTTCGTAACATTAATACAATAAACATGATAACTAAACGCTTGTCGATTATTATAATCAACACCACCGGGCCCTTCCTTAAATCCTGTTTGTAGAAGATCAGCAACACAAGGCTCAAAAAATATTATATGTTTATCATCTACTTGACGAATAACTTCATGTAATTTTTTATACATCGGCGTCAAGTAAACTCGATCGACTTGTCCTATTTGAACAATGTCAACAAGTTCAGCAAACGGTGGTTCATTAATTAATTCATAGCCAAGTACAGATGAACGATTGACAAATGTATTCGCAACAGTTCGCCAAAAAGAAGCAAATGAGTCGAGTGCACCATTACCATTTGTATATCTGTACGTATGATAATATATTTTAGATCCGATGGATAATGTGTACTTACAGCATTTTAAATCCATTCATAACAGCTTCAGTAAAATAGTATTCAAAAAAAGGACGTTCAAGACATTCATCAAGTTTTGGATAACCTGTATCAGGTTCTCGTGATATATTGGCAGCAATTGGCAATGGAAAAGATTTCACCACTGTATCACCTAACTTGTTTGCTATCCAATCGGGTACACCTTCACCACAGAAATATCTGGAAAAAACATCTTGATGACAGTCAAGTAAAGCATAAATGCCTTTGTTTTCCATCATTTGTATAGCTGTTGATAATTGTGAAAGGTATTCTTGGTCAATATCAATTTCTGATGTTGGATTTACACCCATCCATGATGTATAAAAACGAATAACATTAAAACCCCATTGATGTAAATTATTTAAATCATCATCTGTTAGAGAATTTTGTGGATCGAAATGAGTTAAATTTGGTAAAAAAGGTCGAACTTTGTAAACAACATTAACACCATGAAATATACGTACACGTCCATATTCATCAATAAAATATTGAGTATTTGGATCAACTTGAATACGAGATAATTGACTATCACTTTGAACAATAAAAAGAATAAAAATGAATAACAGATAAATGATGTACGGCATTTTCTATAAAACAGATATCTGAGACAATGGTATTTATATCTGATATTTTAAATACAGATGGTATTTATTCTCATATCAAATAAGTGTTCTTAGAAGTATATACAGTGTCTTACAACGAATAAAATAGAAAATAAAATCCATCTGCCGGATGAGGCCATTTATATGTTTCGAACTATTTTATTGGCTGCCCTTTTAATCTGCTTGGTTATCTTCATTTTCTTCTTCGAATAATTTTGTTTGAATTTCTTGTTGATGATTCAGACGTTTTAGTAGTTTTCCTTTGCGTAGGGTGAGGGCGACAATAACAGACTCATCCTCGCCCCTCATTCTGACCCATCTACCCTCACCCACCCTCACCACAAAGGACGAAAGAACACGCATCTGATGATTACTACACCCGTTGCTATGCGTACAACGCGACCATATTCTTTTCTCTTTATTTTTCCATCTTTGCTGTTCTTCTCTATTTCTTCAAAATTCGACAATGTGCTTCCATATAAGACAGAGGAAATGATATTTATGATGACAGAATTGTAAAAGAAGAATTGATAAAGAAACTTTATACGAAGAAATACTGAGAGATTTCTTGGTTTCACTGACGTGCGTTGTTGTTTTTCTTTTCCTTAAACATAACTCATTTGTAAAAAATCTTGCATAAAATCTGATTAAAATTGATTAGGAGCATAGATATTTGTGTCAGTTTTATTCAAATTTTTTTTGTTTAGTTCGACTGATATCGATTAGAAGTTGTACAAAAAATATTTCTTGTAATTAATTTTTCTAGACAAAAAAAGCAGCCTCTTTAATGAATATGCTCTCATTTTTAGCAATGATAATCAATTCTTTGTTTTCTTCTGTCAACTTTTAATCGATTTTAGTTGCAGCTTTTGTCAGAATTCTTTTAGATGTGAAATATATGTTACGATTTCCTGCGGTAAGTAATGAAAAAATCGACGTTTGTATATATAAAACCGTGCATATGTTGATTTTTTTAATTTGGTCAACAAAAGTATGCTGAAGAATGTTAATGTTTTACAACTTCTTTCTCTCCAAAAATGTTGATATAACAATTTTTAAATATCTAGTTTTTATGTGTAAAAATGTCGACTTTTTTGTCTCTTGTTTACCTGACAAGCACTGACAAATCTTTAGGAAAAGACGAGAAGAAATATAAAATACGATGACAACAAATTGCTTCCAAATTCACCCATGAAATAGTATGCCCTAGTGAAACATCTTGTAAGTAAGATCTTGGAATCTTGCTTATCAATAACCAAGATCTTGCTAAGATCTTTAACAGATAATTCTTCTTTTTTTGCAAAATTATTTCTTGATAAGATCAGATGCATCTATACCACAGATCTTAATAAGATATGTTCAAGATTTTGAGACGTCAAGATCTTGGAAAAGAATTTGAATTCTAATTATCTTTTTGCCCAAGATCTTGAATAAAACAAAAAGCGACATCACTAATTTATTCACAAAATCAAATATTCTCAAATTGTTCACAATTAGTTGCAGAAAGACATGTACAGTTGATTCTTGGATGGCAGAAAACAAAAAAAATTTTGCAACGATTTTGTTGTCGACGAACCAATAAAATGAAAGAATCAACAACAAAGATGGAAAAGAAAGACAATGCAAACCGTTATTTGCATAAAATATAAATCAACTTTAGTCGACTATCTAATCGTATTTATTTTTAATGTTATGCTAGTCTTTTAGAAGTTTTATTCAGAACGTTTAATCAGTAGATAGATAGCTAGTTTTGAAAGGTAAATACTAATTGGTTAGGGGCAAAATAAATTCGTTAGCATTCTTTTAGCAATGATTCTGCATAGCTGAAGCTTAAATTATTTTATTCTTCCATCGTCATGTTTTCTCATCTGTCAGTGGCTCTTTAAATATAAAAACAATAAAGGCACGAGATACACGGTGTTAGTTGTCTACGAAAGCCATATACAACTTAGAGCGTAGAATTATAAGACTTAAATATTTTAGAATATGCTAATAATAGTATCAAAATTGTTTCCTTTTTTGTTGTATGGTTTTTTATTCGTTTTTTCTTTTATAACATTTATTTTAGATGAATACTTATTGCTCCAAAAGTAAGACCCAGTACACACGAGAATGTATGCGAGAACGTCGTTCAAGAAATCATGCTGAAGATATATCTCGAATAATTCGTCAGTACAAAGAAAATGAAGATGCTGCTATGGATATGTCAAATACGATAGACCATGTACCTGTTGATACTACAAATGATCTTCCAATTACAATGATTGATTGTTCAACTTCTTCTTTTGATTCTGAACATTCAGATGAATTCGAAATAAATTCCGACGATATTACTGATGACGACGTCGATGTGGAAGCTGAAAGTGATGATGATGGTGTCGACGTCGATGTTGAAGCTAAACGGGATGACGATGATGTTGAAGAATTTATAAATATGTATGACTTGAACAATCAAACCAAATTATTTACATCAAGTTCCTTGTCTGTGCGCGATGCATGTTTTATTCTTATTAAATTAGCTCGACGCTTAAAGAAGTACTCGAATCGAACGAACCAATATTAAAAAGTAAATAAATTTACAGCTTTACATATAATTATCTTTACGTTTCAAGTGTCTTTAAAGATGTCAATCTTTTTTATTCCAATTTTTCATTTTTTTCTGAGCTTAATGCTTCATGATTTTTAATTGTGAAGAATCAATGATCTGGGCGAGTGAAATGTTATTTTAAAAATTGAGAAACTATTAGTAGTTTTATTTAATAATTCTCTATAAAAACATAATATTTTCCATGAGAATATATGCAAGATAGATACGATACATTTTTTTTCTTATATCGCAAGATGAGAATAACTTGCACGAATGAAAGATTGCATTTTGAGGCTTTGTAATATATTCTGACTATTGTTTGATAATATTTGGAAACAAACAATTGAATATGTCTTTTGTTTCAGAGTTCATTCAACAGAAGTGCCTCATTTTGGACGAATATTTACCACATACTTGGTCACGAATTATGAATTCAATGGCTCAAATGCCATATGATGCTGTTAAATATAAACCAAAATCAAATAACAATTCATTATCACAAACACCAAAATTAAATGATACAACAACAACAACAATTGCATTATCTCCAATTAATACAAATGAGAATGAACCATGAGAATAACAGCATCCAATGATAATTTAAATTTTATTCGTTTGAGATTTAGAAACAGTTATACTAAATTAGAGTAGATCCATAAGTTTTTTAATGTTTTGTAAACTGTGATTTTTTTTTCATTTCTAAGTAATCCATTTGGTTAGATATTTTTGAGCTTATGATAATCAGGAAGAAATTAACAGTTATTTGTGAAGGTTTTCATTGTAATGATGTGTGTTTATGAAAATATTGTAACGTACATTACAAACAGTTATAATAAATAGACAGTAAGATAGTAACTTAAGATCTTGAAAATTTTAATGATCATTAGACAAGATCCAATTATCTGTACCAAAGATCAAGTGGAAAAGATCATAAAAGACAAGATAGTAGAGAAAAGATCTTGATTGTCTGTTATCAAGATCTTCCACATCTGTACCCAAGATCTTTATTTAGATCTTGGGTACAAGATAATGCAATTATCTTGTACCTAAATTTTCAAGATCTACTCACATTTCTGTACCCAAGATCTTGGCCAAGATCTTACTTACAAGATGTTTCACTAGGGATGAGATCTCTGTGTAACCCAAAAGAGCATTCTCGTTAAATTCGAGCATCTCAGATGTTTTTTTTACAATTATTGCGCATACGATTAAACATAAGACGTATAAATGTTGCATTTTTCCGAATACTAACATAACATTTTCCGAGCGTATTTCTATCGTAATGTGTATACTGCGCATGCAGATCTGAAATCAAATGATTGCCTGTTCGCCATATGTAAGGCACCAGCAATTCAAATTTTAAATGAATTTTTTTCCGCTTTTTTGTTTTACATCATTTGATCGAGCGTAAGCTGCTGATCACAAGTGACTAGATTTTAGTCTCAGCGAATGTTTCTTTCTGGTCGAAAAATACTAAAAGCTCGCAGGATGTGATTTTTCTCCAACAACACATCCTTACTAAAATATACATTATATTTTGTTCCGTGTTTTTTCTGAGTTTCTGAAATTTTTTTTTCGGAATTCAGCATCAAACACTGTGCACAGACAAGTTGTTCAATGGAATCTAGCTTCAAATTTCTTCCGATGATAGCGCTTCGAATTGCATAGACTGCAATTCGTATTGGCCGATGTTGTACGCCTATCTGGTTTCAATACGTACGCGATGAAGGCAAATGTTTTGTCTCCTTTAACTCTCTCATGCCATATATCACCGAGGTACACACCGCAGTTTTTTCTTTTCTTTTCTTGGCCGAGAAAAATTGTTTTTACTAAACTATGAGTCAAAGTCGTAGAATTCTTCTCGTAATTCTGGATTTTCGACGCGAAAATGCCATTTTTATTAGATAAAACTATCATATTCAGATTTAGCATCATATTCTGAGTTGATTGGTGTATATTTTTGCCATTTATCGTGACTTAAATTTTTCTCGAAATTTTATTGGAAGAAAAGACCGAAATTTTCACCAGAAAAATGAAAGGTACAAAGAAGTTTGTATGTATAAATTAATCAACACAGATTTCAATGTTGAATCTGAATACAATAATTTTATCGAATAAAAACTGTGTTTTCGTGTCGAAAATCGAGGATTACGAGGGAAATTCTACGACATTTGCTCGACCAAGAAACAAGGAAAGAAAAAACACGATGCATACTTTTGTGACTAAAGGTATTGTGAGTTAAGCGAGAAAAAAACATTTGCCTTGATCACGTATGTAGAGAAATCAGATAGATGTACAAAATCGATCTATACGTGGTGTATCCGGCGCGATTTGGAGTACCAACATGATGGAATTTCGGAGTCTAGATTCGGTTTAACAATTCTGCTAGACTTAGTTTTTGATACTGAATCTGAAAAAATATTTTCAAAAGTTCAGAAGAGACACGAAACAAAGTGTAATGCATATTTTGTTAAGGATGTGTTTTTTTGACAAAAAACGACATCCTTCTAATTTTTCGTGTTTTTAACCCGGAAAGAAGCATTCGCTGAGGCTAACAACAAGTTTTTCATGATCAGCAGTCCACGCTCTAACAGGGTGTGTGGGTGTCGGTGTGGCTGAAGGAAAAACGCACCGACACCCACACCCACACCCACACCCATATATACATCAATCGATAGAGAAATGTTTGCTCTACTTCGGAAAATAAAATCAGCTCTCTATGTCACCGAGAAGTCGAGTTATTAAAGGTTTTCTGAAGATGATTTGTTTTCTGGTAGAATTAGGACACCTCACTCTACGTGAAAGGGAAAATGAATAAACTAATTTTAGATGTGCACGAGTCACTTCTATTTGTCACCGAATTCACATAAGAGATGTAAATCAATAGAAACACAAGAGTATTTGCTCTGTTGGATAATAGTGAATAATATTTCTTTATTTTATTGTTTGTTCATTTCGTAGATTTTTTTTATTATTCTCATATCTTTGTCGCATGTCTCAATAAGGGTGATAGAATATAGCGACATATCTACGATCTAGAAAGCGACAGTTCAAAAAAGACTTTAAGATACATATATAATTTAAAGATCTATAACTTCAGACTGTCATTTAATTCGAGATGTCCTATTTAACTTAAGCAAGTCAAGTTGCATGCGTAACGTAAAACATCTATTCTTCAATATTAGTACGAACCAAAAGACTTCGACAGAGCAAAATCATTTAAAATAAATTTGGCCTTGCGACCAAATTAGCATAATGATGATATATAAATTGCTTCCACTTAGATAATAAGAGATATTGTCAAAAACTGTTGGGTTCGACAGACATATGATGTAACATAAACAAAAGACTGTTGCCTACACTCTCACACTCTGTAATGAATAATAGAATCTTAGACATCATTGTAATCATGTAGGAAACCGTTCGTAAACTCCGTTCAGATCATTAGTTCAAAAACCAACTTATAAAAACAGTTAGAGAATACCTATAACGGAATCGAATATAGTAAGTTATTTTTTCGTTCGATGACTTGTTGTTAGTTTTTTTGCTATTGATATTTTCCGACTGGTTTTATAAATTGTTCTTTGACTGATGCTATGAATGAACGGAGTTCACAAAATGTCTCAAATATTATTAAAGCCATGTCTATGACTCTATTATTCATTTTTACATATATATTCACCGATTAAAATTAAAACAAAATGATTCATTAACTATTGTTTTGTTTACTCATGGGAAAGATATTTCGAAATGCAAATGTAATGCATTCAGATATACAAATATCAGTGTATATTTTCTCATCGTAACAACACGAAACGTGAAGGAAGGCAAAAATAAGAGAAAAAAAATTGAAAGTGCAAAATACATATGATGAAGAATGCATTCATGAAAAATAACTACCTACCTGATGAAAATGTCATGCTTCATTGATTCGCATAAACATGCATTGGTGGGAAAAAACCAAGTAATTTCGTCAACGATAAATACGAAGCAAAACTGATTGCAAGCACACAAAACAAAACTTGCACACTCCAATATCACTTATCATGTAAGTATATTTGGTTGTCCACATTATGAGACTAACAATACAATTAAAATTGAATATCAAGAGTAGTTACAAACAACAAAAAATGACATTACATGGAAGTGAGGCACTTTAATCACTAGAAGATGTTCTTGAAGTAAGCTCCGATTGAGAATGTTCAGCATATGGGATCGATAGTCTTCATTAAAGTAGCTATAACATGCAAAAATAGTTCTACCGCAAAGTGTATCAAACAGAGTGACTTTTATAATGCTTAAATTTCGTCAAGAATCATAGTGGTGAAAGACTCAATTTTCATTTTTAATAAGCTAAGATAGTAGCGTATTCAAGAACTTCTCATAGAAGTTTTAAGCGGTGTGGAAACACCTTAGAAAACTGTTTGAATCTTCACGGACTCAATGAAAATCGAAGATATTGAACATTAACCCAAAGGACACTTTTTGCAGACTAGGAGAACAGTTATGATAATATAAATACAAAACATAGCGGAAATTTTTCACATAAGACAATGTTTGTTCTTCTATATGACCATCAGTCAAAGAGTGGAATGATTGAATGGATTTCAACGATTGACATGCTTGTCTTTTTAGGAAAAAAACTTCTGAAAATTAACACGAGTGACAAAATGTCTCATGAAAAACAAACACTTAGGGAGATCATATTGAGCCGTAGCCGTATTGTCAAATTCTAGCTTTGGTATTTAGAGATTATCTACTATTCTTACATCTTTCCGTTTATGATACTTTGAGAAAGAATATTTTAATGTTTTACTTTTGCATCAGAGCTACCCATGTAGCCGATAATGGATGAATAATGGAAAATGATCCATTATTTTCCATTATTTGAAGAAAAACATGAATTAATGCATTATAATTAATTATTTTTTGACTTTTCAATGCATTATTTCTAATAATGCTGAAAATGAAGGATAATGCCTAAATTTTCAATGCATTGTAATGCATTATTTAGAATAATGTAGAAAATTCCAATAATGCATTATTATCCAATGCATTTCAATGCATTATTTCTAATAATGCGAAATTGGCTTGAGAATGCAGCAAAATTTCAATGCATTACAATGCATTATTCCTAATAATGGAGAATTTTAAGATAATGCATTATTATTCAATATATTTCAATGCATTATCAGGTATAATGTAGAAATTGAGGATAATGCATTATTATTCAATGTATTTCAATGCATTATTTAGAGCAATGTTTTTAAATTAGAGAATTCACCATTTCTGTAAAAGAGATATTGAAAAGTGATTTGACAGGTAGATATTTGATCTAACGCAGCTTTCTGTGTATCAGGTGCTTTTCAATAAGAGTTGCGCAAGTTAAAGAACTAATAAAAAATGTAACCTGAGTTACAGCGCTCAGAGTATTTTTCGAATCCCTTTCCCTGATAATGGAAACCTAATCGTATTTTTAGAAATCACTAGGGTATTCAAGGAAACCTACACTATTGAAAACTTGAGCCAAAATCTGATGAGGTATATCAGATTACCCTTTCAGGTTCCAAAATATTT